AATGGGAGAACCTTAACATGCAGAAGATGGTTTAAATTGATAGAAAGATGGAGCCAAATGCAGGACCATTCTGGAGGAAAACCTGTTGGCAAAACACCTGAGACTGGAAAGGAGATTTGTCTTCTAACAAGACCATGATCAAAAATATAGAGCAAAATATAAAATGGTGCGGTTCACAAATAAATATATCCAGGTGTTAGAATGGCCTAGTCAAAGTTCAGACCTGAATCCAACAGAAAACCTGTGGAACAACTTAAAAAACGCTCTCCATCGAACCTCACTGAGCTCCAGCTGTTTTGCAGGAAGGATGGGCAAAAAATATCAGTTTCTCGATGTGCAAAAAAGAGACAAACCCCAAACGACTTGCAGCTGTAATTGCAGCAAAAAGGGGGCGCTAGAAAGTATTAACTCAAGCGGACTGAATCATTTTGCACACCCAATTTTTCACTTTCTAATTGTTAAAATAGTTGAAAATATCCGGCAAATTTCTTTCAACTTCATGATTTTGTCCCACTTGATGTTGATTCTTCACAGTAAAATACTATTTTATATATTTATGTTTAGAGCAGGAAATGTGGCAAAAGATTGAAAAGGTCAACGGGGGGCAACAATTTTAGCAAGGCACTTTAAATTCCTGGATATAAGTAGCAGAATAAGCTCAGCAGTGAAAGTAAAGCAGAGAAGTCTGTGAAACTAGAATTAGGGTTATTTTTCAGTGCAGAGTTATCTGCACGGTCCAAAAGGTAATAAGGTTTCCAACAAATTATAATCTGATAAAAGATGCATAAAACATAAATTAAATGAAAGATTAATTGGGTTTAAATAAAATTGCTTTCAAGAGCAATTTAAAGTGGAGGATTGTGTATTTCTGTAGATTCTCAGTCATCCAGGAGGTCTGATTTTAAAGTGCACCTGCACATCAGACCTCCCACACGACTCTTTTTAGCCTCGCCACCGCAGCGCTATAAGGGGCTTTTAAAATTAAAGCTAGTTAAAGCAGAGATCAAGAAGCCAAAGGGAAAGCACTGTAGTAATTGGCTAGAGAGCAGAGCCTTTTTAGCCTCTGCTGCTGAAGTGATTATGACACCAGTTGCTCATTTGTAACACCAGCCTTCAGCTGTGAGCTGCTGATGGACACCAAATGTTGTCGAATAAAGTCTTTATTTTAGCAATCATATGAATCCATCTTTCGTTTAATCCTTCCCATATTAGGCATGTTTTAAGTTCCAATTCAATACTTCAAACGCTGCATGTTTAATTTTCCATGTTTCACTCTAGAGCTCCACAGTATATGAAGTCAAATGCTTCATTTCAAAATGAAAAGGACGTATTTGATGCAATATTGGGTAGGTTGATATATTTTGAATGTCCTGTATTCAAAATGCTTACAGATAATGTAT